GAAAGGGGAAAGAGAAGGAGATGGAGACTTCAATTTGATTATCTGTCAGCTAGTAAGGAAATCCTTGAACTTGCATTTACTGTCTGTGGATTCATGAGGAATATCAGAAAGTTATGGGATGAAATAAGATGGAAGTTGGAAGGGATTGAGACCTGTTGGTCAGTACATAACAGGTAGTTAAGCACTCTAGGATGTTTGTCTCTAGTTGAGGGATGTGTAGAAGGTAGAGGTACGGATGGAATTGGACGGGTACGTAGGAGATTCATCAAAATATTCATTTCATTCTGTGATGGTGACAGGGTTTGCGGTTGTGGGTCAGGCGACTCCGGTTGCGCCAAGTGTGGCTGCTGCAAGGTGTGCGCCGGAGAGGCCCAGGAGCGACGCGTTGGCGTGGGCCTGCTGGCAGCTGGCCAAGGTGCGGCTGCTGGCCTCCAGCAGGTTGCTGCTGGTGCTGGTGGTGGGGGTGGTGGTATCCCTGCCATACCCGGTGCCGGTGGTGCTGCTGGGGCCGGCGGCGGAGGAGGGAACTTCTACAGCGCCCTGGTGGAGCACAGCAACATCCTGCAGCACCGGCTGCTGGCCCAGCTACGGTACGGGATGAACCGACAGCAGGATGGCAAGCACCGTCGGGTGGGGTTCATTATGAGCCAGGACAAAGGCAAAGGTGAGTCATCTCTAGATTGTCGTGAGAGTAGCAGAACCAGTTGTATTGAGTAGTCCATTTTGGTCTCCAGTTGTTTCAGATGCATGGTGTCATGAGCCAGTTTTTCCTAATAACCACTCTGAGAAACCCTTGTAGCACTCAATATTGGTCTCTTTCATGAGACGCCATTTTTGTAGGCAAATTACAATTGCGTATTCAGCACCATCAGGTATGCGTGTGTCCAACAAGCTCATTTTTATACATGCAGGTGTTGATCCAAATATCTTCAAACTACAGCACGGCTATTGTGCATCACGAAAAATTGAGTCCCAAATGACGATGTACATGTACATTACAATCTGTAGGAAGTGACATCATTTTAGATTTATCTGTTTCTCTGTCTACTTTGTTTCTCATCGATTTGTTCATCTTCAGCCACTGAGGGGCGTATCATCATCTGTGTTGGTCTGAAGAACAGAATTAACAACTCTTGTCCAACAAGCTCATTGTTGGTTCAGTAGAAGTTAATATATGTTTTTGCTCTTGAAGGATTGAAAAGGCACTGCTGTTTTCTTTAAGGAGGGAGGAAAAGCTTGAGACATCAGTTCTGTTCAGCATTACTGTTTGCAGTATGACAAAAATCTGGTTTGAAGCTTCAAACAATCACTGTCGTTGATGGGTTGAGTATTCCAGTTTTCAAGTTGAATTAAGCAAGTGTGAAGGTTTCTTTGTGTATTCCCAATGGCTTCATTGACAAATGCTTTTTGTCTTGATAACCCCATGAGGTATGTATTGGAACTACACAGCCATTTTTTATTTAGGCTAGTATCCAAGGAACATTAATCTCTGCAGAAGCTATGCTTCTAAATTAATGGATGTTTGCTGCTGTGAAATGGGCAACAGGAAGTTACAGGAACCAAGCCATTTGTTGAAATCACTGTGTTGGAGGGTTTCAACCGAATCCCTCTGGTGGTGTGGAAAATTACACAGTGAAATTTGAAAGTTGGGGGCTGTTCGAGTTAATTTTGGTCTCCAACTGTTTTGCACCAACAGATGAGGGCAGCACCAGTGGTGATGACAGGGACTTGGAGAGGGACTATGGTCAACATGTCATCCATCCACCAGGCCCTGTGACCTTAGCTTTGCCAGCTACCCAGGTGGCCTGTGGTCTTCACCACACAGGTACTAGAATGATGGTATCGTATCACCACTGTAACAAATGTCTCAGCTTGGTTTTGTTATCGAAGGGACATTAATTGACTATGTATGGAAGTTTGTGTATTTTCAATGCACTATACACTCGCTGTTTTGAACTTCTAGAAAAAGTTTAACATACAGCATATCTTGCTGTAAGTAAAAGAGTTACCCTTACACACCCTGAGCACTTTTAGTGAACGTAACTTTTTTTTTTCATGTACATTGCAGTGGTGCTTCTGAAGAATGGTGAGGTGTATGGCTTTGGGCTTGGCAACCATGGTCAGTTAGGGCAAGGAGATTCTGCCAGCAGGTAAACTACAGCTGCCCAACTGCCGTGTCAGTTTGAATTTTGTGAAGAGCCTTGTTGTGATGCAGTGTTGGTCAAATGATCTGTCTTACTTCAAACTGTGTTACTGTCTAGCTCTGTAGTTTGATAATGCTGCATACTTGAAGGTTTAACCCTAACCCCCAGGCCCTTTTTGTTAGGGACCCTCCTCAATCCTCCAGAATCCTCCAATTTCGGGGGGTGAAAACATTGGATTCTCCCTCAATCCTCCGAAATCCTCCAGAATTTCTTGAAAATGTTACTTGGAGGTGTGCCTACTGCCTCAATTCTTCAAAATCCTCCGGCAGTTCATGTCATTATGTTGAGGCAGTGTGAATGGCATTCTTGAGCAGTGCGGTTGATTCAAAAGAAATATCAGGCTGAATTTATGCATGACTGAGCAAAAACAGCACAAAGTCTAACCCATGACCTTCATGCATACGGGTAGCATCCTTCACAATCAACTATGCACTTTTGCCATTCATCCTCAGTCCTCCAAAATCCTCCAAAACCGCCCGGATTTTGGAGGATTGAGGAGGGTTAGGGTTAAAGACTTACCTACATGGAGGTGGAAAACCAGAAAGAGCAGTGTGGATGAGCATGATGAAACCACAGTTTGAATTGGTTGGTTTGTCAGATTGATGTAGGAAGTGATTCCTTTGAGCATTACCTAGGATTGTTTGCTGTGATTTCACTGTTATGCCAGTGCAACAAGCAGCTTCCTGCAAGTGGTACCTTGGCTATTCTCCCAAAGGCTCCAAGAGATTTAAAATGATGCCTTATTTCAAATCTTCCACATCCAGGACTGCACCTGTGCAGCTACAGGTGCCAGAGACCGTCATCCAGGTAGCAGCTGGCAGCAATCACACGGTGCTACTGGGAGTGTCCGGCAATGTTTACACCTGCGGCAACTTCCAGGTATGCTGTCAAGGGTTCCTGTATGGGATTTCACATTTGCTGTCAATTAAGATCTGGTACTTTGCCCTGTTTTACTCTTGCATGAACTTTTGAACTTTCCTGTGGAAGCCCGCAGGCATCAAATTACATGTTCCTGTGTTGGATCTGATAAATTCTGTAGTGGAATTCATGTGTACATTAAGGTTCTGTGATTCAATGTAGGATTGCAGTATATCTGTTTGTTGATTTTTTTTTTCCGTCACTGAATGGACCTTCCAAATATTTTTCTGTAAAAAAAAAGAGAGTATTTAATTGTGCATTAAGTAAATCCAGATGTCAACTTTAACCAAATTTAACTGGTTTCTTACACATTTCTGCAGATTCTAAAGATTTGTTCAGTTTGATATAGAGTGGTCATTTCTTTCACAATTTGCTTTCGGCAAAGATGGAATTGAAAAGGCGCAATTTCTTTAAAGTTAAATGTGTAGGAGAAATTCCCGGGAACGTTAAATTCGTAGGGAAGTAACAAATGAAAGCTAGATAAATTTAGGAAAAATCCTCCCGGAGAAATATCAGTTAAAGTTTGGTTCTTTTGAGAGTACATTTTTTTTCTTTAAAATTTCCCTGGTTCATCCTGTGATAGAAAGGACAACTTTGCCGAGCCATCCTGGAGGAATCCAACGCTCCGGGGGCTGTGTCGCACTCCAGGCCGGGCCCTGTGCCAGACATGGGACCACAGTATGGCCGTAAGGCCACCTGGGTAGGGGCCAGCGGGGACCAGACCTTCATCAAGGTGGACGAGGCTCTCATCAACCCCAGGATGCTGGAGAACTCTCTGGTGTTTGCCAACCAGAGTGTCATTGGTCAGTGGAAGACTGTTCTAAGATACATGCATTGCAAAACTCACAGAAAATCACATCTGGTGTAAAAAAACTTGTTTCTTGTCCCAGCCTGCTAGCAATATCTGGATAGTCTGAATTTTTTTTAATGTCATGGAAGGAAAGAAAAGTTCATTATTGAGCAGAACACACAATAATGTTTACCATCCCCACCTGCAAGCGTTTTTAACGGTATGTTTTGAGAGAACAGTTAACCCCTTTGCACCGGGAACCGTTGACAGCCACGGCTTTGTGTGAGGATTAGTGCATACCACACATACAGTCTATTCACCATGCAGCTGCTGGTTCAATGGGGCCTGCTGCTGGACAAAGCCCTCCATTCAGGGCATACCACAGCCCAGCAGTCACGGTCAAAGAAATACCGGCTCAAAGGGGTTAAAAAGTAGACATAATCTAAAATACAGTGTGAAGCACATCTTAAAGTGTAGTGTTCATTTCAAAAAAGGTAGACAACTTTTAAAATTACCGCCCTCATTCAAAACCAGAGAGGCATTCTGGAAAAAGTTTGATAATGACTTCACAAATGAACCTTATGTTGTATTTCTCTTTTTGTTTTGGGAGGCTTTTAATTTCATAGTTAGAAGAATAAACAGCTTTCGGTTGAAATATAATGTCATGCAGTCCTTTTGACAACCACACACAGCCCACCAAATGATTGATTACGCACATTCCCGATCATTTCAAACTTTAGTCTTTTGGTAGTGCAGAAGATTAAAATTTGTTACGTTCTCCATGAAACAGGTGTGGTGCCGCGTAATGGCACTGCTGGTGTGCGTTGCCTGATGCTGAGTCGGTTAGATGGGACCTGCCATAGCTACACAGAGCAGGACACATCTTTCAGTTATGAAGACACCAGCGTGTGTCTGGATCCCTTGTATAATGTACTGTGGTGGTAAGTTCTTGCTGGTTTTCCGTTATCTTCTTTTTTCTTTATCAATCTGGTTTCGTTGTCTATTTGGCTGTTCTTGATTTGCCTTTTCTTTTCATTGAGAAGGAAAGGATGGCCTAAATCAGTTTTATTAAATTCCAGATCAGAATTAGCCTTTGATGTTGTGTTTGAATCTGGTTCTGTAGCATTGGCTTATACCCTAATGCCATGAGCATTCTTGCTGGGAATGTTCCTGAATTTTCCTGAATCTTCCATTATGCATAAAACCTCCGTCGTGTATGGAACTAATTGTATATTCTTTCCCACTGAAACTTCAATGAGACACGAGGACCCTTGACACCCATAAATAGCATGTAAAAACCTGCTCAAATCTAGTTATAGGTCAGTGTCATTTTTTTAAAGATCTAAAAATGGCAGTACTTTGGAAACCTACCATCTTTCTCTTTTTTGAAGAGGAGAGTGAATTCTGTTACAGATGAACTATTTGGACAGTAGTTTTCAGACAGAAGTCCCGTTTTGCCCCTTCCAATGGATCGAAGACTGTTGAAAACCCTTTGAACCCATTAACTAAACATGCGTGTTGTAATCATTTAAAGCAGAATGAATGAATGAGAGAAAACAAGTCCTGGATATGCTATTGGTTCATGTGAGCTTTGTGAATGTAATATAAATAAATTATTCATTAACTTTTAATGTTCTGTATTGACCTTCCAAATCTTTTTCCATCTCACTTGCCCTCACACAGCTTCTCTCCGACCGGCAGCCGTGTCGCCTGCCACAGCGTTCTCAAACCCGGTGTGCGGCTCCTCCCCAGCCTACCTCCCTCGGCCTCCGTCCTAGGCCCCGAGCTTGCCCTGCCCACTGCGGCAGCCAGCGCCATTCCCCCTGCTCTCCCTGTCTCTCGCTCCCACTGCGCCCTGCACATGCTGGCCTGCTTGGATACGCTGACGGCGGCCCAGGAGGCCCAGCTGACTGTGGTAGCCGCCCAGGCTGAGCGCCAGTGCGTGGCCAAGGTCTATTCCAAGGAGGACTTCAACAGCGTCAACAGGTTTGAAGGTGAGAGCAGCAGGCATTCTCTATTTTTCACTTTCAGTGTCATTCTTGCTTTCAATTCTCATCTTTCTGTTTCAAGGAGGACTTAGACGTTTCTTAGAAGCTGTCATCAATGCATTTGATTTTGGGAAACAGCACTGAACTTTGCATGAAACTAATATGGAGAGCTTTCTTTGCTTAGGATAAGTGTTTAATAACATTATCATGTTACAATAGTAATCCTCACAATGGCAAATATATTTTCATAAATAAAATTATAGTGAACAAAGTAAAATACGTAAGCAAAGTGTGTGAGCACATGTTGATTATACTGATCTTCTTGCAGCATGAATTTTTGCCAGATCCTGCAAAATTTGTGCCAGGGGCAAAAGTGAAACATTCATATTGTCATAAAAAAGGGAACATTTTGTTAATTTAGTTTGAAATGAGAGCATTGCTTCTTGTTTTCTCAATGTATTTCCTGTTGGAAAAGATCAATTCGGAAGGTTAAATTATTGTCCACACTTGTAGTGCTAGATTGTGTTTTTAAGCTCACTTCAATGCATTATCAACTTCACCTATACTGTGGCACTCATATCACACTGTGTAATGAATGTATTACCTTCATGCTTCAAAGGTGACATTTTTCTTTAAAAGCCACATATATAAACTGCATTAGATAGTCAGATTGGGTACATGGATGTTAAATTTCGGAAAAGAATGGCTTCAAATATTTGAAAGGACCTACTAATGGTTGCTGCACTTTGCTGTGCATGTGGCAGTATCGGGCTATACCAGAACTGAATTGTTTTGCATGGTTGCAGGAAAAATAATGGGTGCATTTCTGTATGTAATCTCTATGTGGATGCTAAGATAAGATGTTAAGTGTGAGGGTTTTTCCATTCTTGGAGGAAGGAAATGTAACAATCCCTAAAAATTGTCCTTGGTTCATACTCCCCCAAGGATTGCTCTTTTTTGAAAGGTGTGTGGCCCATTTGCCCCCTCCATTAACCAGTGTTTGTGTTGCACAGATTGCTTACTAAAAACATGTCTTAAGCTTAGCGTAGAGTGTGCAATTGCATCTCATGGTTTCAGAAATTCCCTCAGTAAATGATAGCAAGGCACTGTGTTTCTTGTGATTGGACGCCAAATCTTCTGCCTCACCAAAACACAGTGAACCCCTTGAATCATATTTCCTATGCACTTTTTTCAGAGACCAGCCAAGCTTTGGTTTTTCGCCATTAGTACTTTTAAGCGCGCAAATCTTATTCCTTTTGATTTCTGAATGAAATGAATGGTTTTTCGATGGGTCTTTATGATATAGGTTATGGTGGTGGATGGGGCTACTCAGGCCATTCGGTTGAAGCTCTACGATTCTGTGTGGATGCTGATATCTTACTTGGAGGGCTTGGGCTGTTTGGAGGACGCGGTGAATACAATGCTAAGATTAAGGTAAGCTGGTCAATTTTATCCTCTACTCGTATCATGTTTTATCGGACGTGAAAGAAGAACCGTGTTTTATACCTGATTTACTAATCAGGGACATATGGTGCATTAGTAATACATTAACAAGAAACAAAAGCCCTATAATGTTAAGTAGAAACAAAACCAAGAAATTAAAAAAAGCTAAAACCATAGCTCTATGGTTTCTTCCAAAAGTCAAAATTCTGTGACTTTTGTGCGGTTAAATACCAATTAGTGTTACTACTTATTAAAGAACAGACATTCCTTGTAAAAATACTTTGTGACTTGAAAGTGCTCTTTATTGTTAATTAACTTGCATCCCTTTCTGCCCTATCTGTCTCTGCAGCTTTATGAGCTAGGGGCCAAGGGGGTGGAGTACGAGCCTGATGGAGAACTACTTGCCGAGAGTGATGACATCACCTTCGAGTGTGGGGCCAGGTATACCCCCTTCCCCTTGCTTTGTGAGACAAACCAGTAGGACCCAAGCCTTAACTCTCGTGGCACAATATCAACTGCTAACCTTTCCCGGATTCTTCCAAATCCACCTGAAAGTGTTTGGAGGATCTGAGGGAAGTTAAAGAGTCTTGATTCCACACGCAAGATAGAATTACAAAGAGTGTGAGATTGGATTCCTACATCAAGGTTGCTATTAAAGGAGTTACAAAAACAGTCCTGGTAAAAAATGACGTAGGAATCAGAGTGGCGG